AGTTACAAACAAGGTGAGTGTGTTCAAGTTCTTTGGAACTCTTCCACAACTGAAGAAGTTTTGGAAAATGTGAGAACTTCCCTTGTTTGTAACGTTCAACACTCAGTAAAGGAACCACTGTTTCCAGTGGGTCCTTCCATTGATTCAAGGCCTCAAGATGTGCATTCTTAATAAACTAATGGCTTCTGCAGGCCTCATCTGGGAGAAGAAATTAAAAACAATGACCATATTAGAGCGCCCAATGAATTACCTGTACTGAAATTGAGCAGCAGATGAAGACTAGGATTTACTACACTGGTGTCAACATCACACATGCTGGGCTCCACCTCTTCTACAGGCATGTAACTGTAGATGTTTCTTTCTTCCACACCATCTATGTAAATAGCAAAGTTTTGCTTGGATGACACGCAGCTTGGCAAAGTATTCTTGCCAGTTGGAGGAAAGGCATTTTCAGATCCAGAAGGGTGTCTCGTTATGGAAGTTCCCTGAAAAAGAATATATTTTTTTCAGGAGAAACAAGACTATGGGCGCATTTCAAGCAGGAAAAGATGCTCACTGGCCAGCTAAGAGCACCAGGTCATCATACTACCACTACTCATGATATGAACGGCTTCAGTACGATAATCATTCTTCTTAAATATAATTTTCAAACCTCTGCACGTATGTATTGAACTAAAACTCCTACCATTCTTCATCTCTGGTCTGTGAAGTGGGTTTCTGGAAAAAATAAAACTTGACTTAGTCTGTCACTCATTTTTACTTTCTAACACGCATTTTCCTTCAATAACCACACAAAATCACCTGCCCTTGTTGTTTAGTCATTAAGTTGTGTCTGACTCATCGTGACCCCATGGACCAGAGCACGCCAGGCCCTCCTGTCTTCCACTGCCTCCCGGAGTCTGGTCAAAACACTGCCCTACTTTGCTGTTTTTAATCCATATCTTTTGCTAACTTTAATGGTTTTGTATGTATTTGCTGAATTTTAATGTTTTTTTACAGTGGAGCTGCTTTCTATGATTTCATGATTTTTTGAATGTTTATCAGCCTTCCTGAGGACCATCAGCCAGGATACAAATGTAATAAACAAAATGTCTTGCATTTAGTAAACAAATGAACTAAAAATGTAACCCACATCAATTTTATGTACACTATGAATATTTTAGAAAATTTCCCAATAGATACAAAATATTTCAACCAAAATATCTGCTTAGGGGGAAATTCAGTTGTCCTTTGGTTGGTTAATGAGGAACCTTAGCAATATAGGACAAAAATACTATAGATAAATCTGATCCAGATCTATCGAGGAGTCAACTGAATTAATTCTACATAGGAGGGTGTTGTCGTTCCCTTAGTTACTCCACGGGTAACTGGGAACTAAGGTTTGTCAATGCTTCCCTTAAAAGGATAACTTACAGAAGTCTGGAAAAATCAGGAAAAGGCTGCATGGTCATTTAAACAATACATATGCAGGAGCACTTGATACCTTTATTCAGTCATTAAGAACATAAAACAAACAAACAAAGCAAGAAATTTCATGATTTTTTGAATGTTTATCAGCCTTCCTGAGGACCATCAGCCAGGATACAAATGTAATAAACAAAATGTCTTGCATTTGGTAAACAAATAAACTAAAAATGTAACCCACATCAATTTTATGTACACTATGAATATTTTAGAAAATTTCCCAATAGCTACAAAATATTTCAACCAAAATATCTGCTTAGGGGGAAATTCAGTTGTCCTTTGGTTGGTTAATGAGGAACCTTAGCAATATAGGACAAAAATACTATAGATAAATCTGATCCAGATCTATCGAGGAGTCAACTGAATTAATTCTACATAGGAGGGTGTTGTCGTTCCCTTAGTTACTCCACGGGTAACTGGGAACAAACAAACAAAGCAAGAAATAAATAGCGAGCTTTCAATGATAAATCATCTTCTTCAAGGCTGTGCTCCAGTTCTTATGGGCAGTTCCAAACAAATGTGCTGTTTTTAACTTCCAAATTCACATGGCTGATGGTGTAGAGGCCAAGTAGGTTTCTTAGATGGAAATAGCTGCAGCATGTCTGTTGGTTTCAAGCTCTTCCTCAGCTAGCAATTTGCAATTGATGGCCCAACTCTTAAAACCAAGGACAGTCACAAGCAATCTGGCACTCCTTAATTCTCCTTTTCTGAGACCCAAAGAGTTTCTCTTTACTTGGGAGAGGGAAGACTGGCCAGCTAGAAATTCAGCTAAACCACCAGAAACAGTCAATTTAAGCCAAAATAAAGCCAAATAAACAATTTCACCTGGTGCATGTTCTCTTTAGCATGCAGTACTGCTTGTTTGCTATCGAAGGATAACTTACAGAAGTCTGGAAAAATCGTTTGCTATCCAGAGTCCATGATGTCAGAGAATTCACATTGGTCTTCAGCTGACACCCTGATCAATCATTGTATGGTCTCTTACAAGTCAGAGAATTCACATTGGTCTTCAGCTGATACCCTGATCGATCATTGTATGGTATCTTAAAATTGTTGTTGCCAAGAAATAAATAGCGAGCTTTCAATGATAAATCATCTTCTTCAAGGCTGTGCTCCAGTTCTTATGGGCAGTTCCAAACAAATGTGCTGTTTTTAACTTCCAAATTCACATGGCTGATGGTGTAGAGGCCAAGTAGGTTTCTTAGATGGAAATAGCTGCAGCATGTCTGTTGGTTTCAAGCTCTTCCTCAGCTAGCAATTTGCAATTGATGGCCCAACTCTTAAAACCAAGGACAGTCACAAGCAATCTGGCACTCCTTAATTCTCCTTTTCTGAGACCCAAAGAGTTTCTCTTTACTTGGGAGAGGGAAGACTGGCCAGCTAGAAATTCAGCTAAACCACCAGAAACAGTCAATTTAAGCCAAAATAAAGCCAAATAAACAATTTCACCTGGTGCATGTTCTCTTTAGCATGCAGTACTGCTTGTTTGCTATCGAGAGTCCATGATGTCAGAGAATTCACATTGGTCTTCAGCTGACACCCTGATCAATCATTGTATGGTCTCTTACAATTGTTGTTGTTGTTTTATATTCTTAATGGTTGATTAAAGATATCATCTGCTCCTGCATTTGTATTATACAGTAGATGTCTGTATATCTTAGAAATGCAGAGTTGGAAAAAGGACCCTACGAATCATCGAGTCCAGCCCCTGTCAAGGAGGCACAGTGAGGAATCAAACTCCCAAACAGATATGTAGATCACTGGGCTATTCAGTATCCTATATTTAGGCCACCTAACATGACTGAGGGACGTGGTGGCACTGCGGGCTAAACCGCAGAAGCCTGTGCTGCAGGGTCAGAAGACCAGCAGTCGTAAGATCAAATCCACGCGACGGAGTGAGCTCCCGTTGCTTTGTCCCAGCTCCCGCCAACCTAGCGGTTTGAAAGCATGCAAATGCAAGTAGATAACTAGGGACCACCTCGGTGGGAAGGTAACAGCGTTCCGTGTCTAAGTCACACTGGCCATGTGACCACGGAAGATTGTTTTCGGACAAAACGCTGGCTCCATGGCTTGGAAACGGGGATGAGCACCGCCCCCTAGAGTCGAACACGACTGGACAAAAATTGTTAAGGGGAACCTTTACCTTTACCTAACATGACTGACTGCACTACAATAACCAAGACAGCTATGGGAAACCGTAGACATATATGGTCTGGAAATAATAGAGCATCAGAAAAAAATTGTGCCCTGTATCTGTGCCCCAGGCCATGCTTGTGGGGTTCACAGGAGTTGTTAGCAAAAACAACAACAACAACAACAACTGGACATCCAAAAGATTTTTTTTACCTTGTTCTACAGATTTATCCTGGAATTAGACTTTAGAAATTTAAATATATTTCAAATGTAGAATTGTTAGCATCCATATATCCTACAAAGTAGATAATGAAAGACAACAGAACCAAAAGACCATGAAATGTCTGAGAAATGTTGTGACATTTGCAAACAAAATGCTTGTACATTTTTGTAATCTACATACAAATGTCACAGGCTTTTGCCTTTGTTCTTTGTCCCATTCCTCACAGTTCTTGATGTGTCTTTGCGTGAATGCTGTGTTGTCTTATACATCTGTTGAAGACACAGTCAGCTAACAGCAATCCAAAGGCAGGGTAGGTGACACCTCTATTAAAACACTAAAAAAATCACAAACACTAACTGTCATCTGGGCACCAGCGAAGAGCAGCATCATTTGTACATGCTAAGGTTCATTGAATACTAAAAAGATTATGGTTCATTCCCAACTACTCAAAAACCAATGGATGAACCTGAAGTTAGGAATATAGATTGATCCCACATGTGTGTGATGTGCCACAAGTCAGGACTGACTTACAGTAATCTCAATAGCTTTCCAGGTAAGTGAGATACTTATACCACAGTATGGAATGCATTGCCAGCGGGGGCGTGCCAGACCTTCTCTCCTAGCATTTACAAAATCAATTACTGTAAAACCCAGCTCTTCTGAGAATCATTTCTGTAGACTCTCCTCTCATGATTGTCTACATGTTATTTATTTTTATTTTGCTTTTTTATTGCTGTCACTTCTGGGGGAAGGGGGGGTTGGGTTATTTCTTTTCAATTTTATTTGTCTGATCAGGGGTTGGGTTTTTAAAATGATTTTTATCTACTCAAGCTACGCAGAATAGCAGTATGCCATTAGATAGGCAGGGTGAACTTTTAATAAAATAAAAGTGGTTTCATGAGTTCCATAGCCTGCCACAAGTGAGTTTCCATGACTTGAGTGGAATTAAATCCACGTCTCCCAAGTTCATCATTCTTCCTACTACACCACACTGAGTATCAGATTGCTACTAGATGATGTGACAATTTTGACTGTAATTTGATTTTGATTTAATTCAATTTAAATTAAATTAATTGTAAATGTTTTGTTTTCTTTTTATTATGTCTGTTTACAGTATTGTTGAATTATTGATTTGTTTGTTATATGTTTTTACTGCTCTTCCCTGTACACTGCCCAAAGGGACCATCGGTCAGATGGGTACTTTAAAAGTTTAATAAATAAAAAATGTAAAAAGCTGTTTATTACTTCAACTCTTCCTCCTAGCCCAGTAGCAACCATACAATGCAGTAACACTGAGCAAATGCTGCATTTTTATGTCACACTGAAGCTGTGGAGAAAGATGTCAAGGTCTCTCTTGCTTTCCAGCTTCTTTGTTTCTCAGAAAGTGAAGCTAAAAGACAGAACTCTTTAGCAGGAGTTGACCCTTGGCAGTTACACACATAGCCACTGGCCCTTTACTGCACAGCTCACGGCATAAGCAAAATCTTGCAACATTTTGAATTATAGCAAGTATAAGAATTATGTCAGCAATACAGAGAATGGCTGAAACACAAGTCAACACCTTATGGTTTGTCAGTTGGTCAATAAATAAGCTGACTGCAACTCAGACCATACAATAAAAGGTATGCTGTAATTTATTTATTTATTATTTATTGCACTTCTGTGCCTTTTCTTTCATAGTAGTGGAGCTCAAAGTGGCTCAGAGATCATTAAAAGAGTCAAACACAATGTACAAATAACAATTTAAAATTATTCCGTATAAAAATATTGTGCTGGGTCAATAGCTCTCAGAGTTAGATACCTGGCTGTGTAGCCAGAGTTTGGGAGTTCGATTCCCCACTGTGCCTCCTGCAAGTACAGCCAGCCTGCGTGACCTTGGGCAAGCTGCACAGTCCCGGGATGCCACCAGACTTCTGAGTACACTCTACCTAGGAAACCCTGGAGAGACTCGCCATAAGTTGGAATTCAGCCTGACGGCACACAATTATTATTATTAAAATATAAAAATCACCATATAAAAACAAATTAAGGAATAGAATTCCTTAATTTAAAGCATTTAAAAACACAATCAAAAGGATACACTGCCAACTTGCTTTGTTAAAATTAGATTTTAAACACTAAAAGCCTGTTGGAAGAAAAATGTTTTCTGTTCTCTTAAAAAGAGAGAGAATTTCATAGGGGAGGGCCTCCCATAAACTGTGGGCAACCACTAAGAAGACTGGTGGAGATCCACATTCTCAAAACCCCCATCTTCATTTTCATAAGCTTAGCCACATCATGCAGGGTATACTGAAAGAAGACTGGCTCAGGTAGTACTAAGTACACCCCCCAGCGATCCGAGAAGGCTCATCTCCCATGCATCTTACCAGGACGCGGGGTCTCAGGCATTGCCCGTTGTCAAACAGCTCTCCCAGAACAGCCCTCTGGCGGGGGTTTTGATGGGCATGTGGCTCAGCTGCAACTGCCAGGGCATCCCAAGGCCCAGCTTGCTCCTTCTCATCGCTCTTGTTGCTGCGCTGCATTTCCTCCGGGTCAGCAGCTGATGCTGGAGAAGAGAAAGCAGCACACATTATTTCTTGTAATAGACTCCCCATTCTCTTCCCCCCCCCCAAGGATAATGTGTTGTCTACAAGTGTCTCTACCCTAACATTTCACATGAAAGCTTTCCTGGAAGTTGCTGTTTGAACCAATCATCTGTCATCCTCACAGTCTCAACAACTGCAGCAATTCTGCGACTCCATGCCCTGTTGGATCACAATCTGCCATCATCCACAAGAAATGGGAAGGCTTCAGGCTGGGGAAAGCTGCCAGCATTTCATTAACGCTCCATAAAACAAATATACTCTATAAGTACAGTACAGAGTACTCATAAGTAGCTTGCCATTCCCTTCTTCTTGGAGGCGCTCTTTGCCAAAGGCTACATGGGAACAGTGGGAAATTGTTATTGTTGTTATTTTATTATTATATTAAGATACTTTTCAGGAAGATAGCAATGCTTCACATCTAAATCAGCTACGGATTCAGTCAGCAGCCCGTATGTACGTTTTAAAGACATTCAAGTTGGATGGTGCCTTTTGCTAGAACCACAAAAATGTTACATAAGTTGTGTGTATGTGAATAAGGTTTAAAGTTCTCCAGAGCCCTTTGTTAGTTAAAATGATTTTTAAAAATTTAAAGAATTAAAAGGAGATGAAGATGCTTGTGATACCACACAAACACCATATCTGCACGCCTTCAAAAGCCAACTATAATAAAGCCAGCCTGTAAGTAACCTGCTAATGTTGGCTTCACACATGCCACCAAACCCAGCATTTTTATCCTCTCGAGTCCAGTGTCACTGCCTGAAACCCATGGGAACCTTCAGTGACTTATCAAGTCATTGAAGAGCCTGAACTTAAGGGCCCCCCCCTTTCCTTGGAACCTGCTCAGTTTCCTTCCACACAAGTATGCCAAGGAGAATGTACTGTATGTGCAACCTGAGCCAAAAGAGCATCTTCCTTTACCCAAGAGATCTCCCTGCTAGACAAGGCACTAATGGGAGTGGGCTCTCACCTTCACAAGAGCCTGCTCTAAGCCAGGATGATGTCACTATGACTTGCTTTTGGTTTTTCACCTATATTTCAAGTAATGAAAGATGTTCAGAATCTTTTTAAGCTCTTTACTCAAAGCACCAGATCATCTCCCACTCCAAAGGAATTAGTGAATGATTTATTCCATTTATACCCTACCTCTCCTACATTTAGCTTAGAGTGTGGGACCCGCCTGTCCTCTTCTTCCTCCCCAATTCTTAGCACAACCACCTTGCAGGGCAGAGTCAGGAGGACTCCCCTTTTCTCCGTTATCTGCACAACTGTCCTGGGAGAAGAGTCAGAGTTAACAACAAGACCGGGTCTGAGAGTTTTCCCAGCCCATTCGAGACCCGAACCGGGGCCTCCCAAGCAGCAAGGCGACAACGCTCTACCCACTATACACCACCACCCCAG